TCATCCTAATTGTACATACTGGTCAAACTGTTCAAACGAGAAAAAAAAACACAAAAATCCAAATTGTACATATAGGTCAATCTGTTCAAACTAAAACAATAAATCCAAATTGTACATACAGGTCAATCTTTTCAATCTGGTCAAACTCTGGATTAATATTAAACTGACTTTTCAATTCATCAAATCAACATGCATTTTGTATTTATATAAAAGTAAGCATTTAAAGCAACAGCACATTTCTCCTTGGCTGAGAGTAAAGATGTTACACAGGGAATGCTCCTAGGTTTCTTTGCGGCTATGTTGTGTCATAGCTGCTTGGATTTTCTTACTGATGTTTTGGTTCAACTTTAAAATTAGACATGCATTTTTCAAACATCAATTATAAAGCATTCTTGATATCTGACTCATAAATTACAACCCAAGTATTAAGAGATAGCATAATGAAGAACAGTCCTGTAAAGACAAAGGTACTTTATTAAATAATGTAGCAAATTGTGTATCTTCCTTTGTCAGTGAGGTTAACGGTGAAAAATAATTTTTTCTTAAAGCTTCTGAAAATTTTCCAGAATAAACTACCTCTTTAAAGAGTAGATTTTCTATGTTAAAATGTGTTCTGATTCAATCTGAATCAGTATATTATTGTGAAAAACAAACTAAAACTCTTCATATATACAAATACACACAGAGACACCCACAAACACATACACCTTCATCTAAGAACTGAGTTGCATTCTACAGTGCTGGTATATGAAGAATGAACCCCAGCTTTAAAATATTAACAAGAAAACATCTGTGCTTTCCTCTATGGCCTGAATTTTTTTAAGCCTTGATTTTCTTCACAGATAGTTTGTCAAATGCTGAGCTATTTTTTTCCACCTCTGATGACTTTTGGTTTAGTTTCGGTGGTAAAGCTGAGTGTGGGAAGGGAAATAGGTTCCATGGCCCTGGCTCCTTGAAGAATTATTGAAACAGGGAAAACCCTGCATATCCTGAGCCTATCATCTCCAACTGTTCTAAAACATGCCAAGGTCCTGCATAGCAGCTGTTTAATAATTTTCTGATAAGAGAATACATCTTACCACTAGTGAATTGATAAAACTGCCAGCCAAAATCATAGAAGAAAGACATCTCCTGCTCATGGTCAGGAGTGCCTATCTTCACGTCCATTTGGACTATCTTCACATCCATTTGGACTTTTGCCACACATATCACCCCCACCTCCTTCAATAAAAAAGAACCTTATTAGGCTGTCTCTTTTTCTTTATACTTCAAACTACCGATTTCCTGGTCCCCTTTCCCCTACACACACATGCAAACTCTATGTGTGCCAAAAATCACTGAATCACTCTTCCCAGAAATGCCAGCTCAGAAGGGGTGAGACATTCTCCTGGAGAAGCACCAATCTCCTGTGAGGCCCAATGGTTTATAAAATAAATAAACAAATAAATAACCCATGGGAAATGTGATACAAGAGAGTCTGCTGCGAACGCCAAGGGTCCATGCAGCCTGTGTGCATCCTTCCTCTACTGTAAGTCATTACTCTACCCATTCTCAAGGCAAGAGGTTTTAACAGTGCCTTAAATTAAATGTCTGTTTAAGGCAGTAAATACACTTATCTACTATAATTTCAATGTGGGCTCTTCTACAGGACCTGAGTAGGAAATATATTGAGTGATTTACTTACTCATTTATTCATTCAATGATATAAATTTGTACAGAAGATGTAAAGTAGGATATAAGTTTACCACACCCTTACCACATCTAATTTAAACATTTTCACTAAAATTTTCACCTAAAACTTGTAACACATGTCAATCTTTTAATAGCAAATAAAATGTCTGTATAAACATTTGGCTTCAAATAATGGTAGCTAGTAAGAATCAACAGTCACTGAAATTCTATCTTGCTTCTGGAACCTGGTGGCAATTCAAATTTCCACTGCTATTTCTGGAGAGTCTTAGAGCTTTCAACTCCTAAATGTACATAACCTGGTGCATAAGTGATGAGGCCAGAGTTTCATAATCAAGTACACATCCATGAGTATATACAGGTCATGACTAAGAGAGAATTTCAAATCCATATACATTTATGCCATTTTACTTTCGGTAGAGGGATTTTCTTTTTGGATTTAATGGTTTTACACGCTCTGTCTATTTTTCTGGTTACTATTTATAATCTTCAGAGCCTACATATGTAGAAATCAATACATTATATAACACAAACCTAAGATGCAGACTAGTGAGACTAGATTTTTTAACCTGACAGAAACATTTCAAGTTTTCTAGAAGCTTTCCTAACTAGTACAAGGACCTAAAATCCAAAGAGATTTCCCTTTCTTTAACAATCAAGTTAGATAATGTTAAGACACTGTATATTTTAATTATTTAATTAATATGAGATTTTTAGTTCACGACAGACTTTCATTGCCAATAAATATCCAAGATTGGACATAGCAATAACGCCAGTACAGAGGTTCCTCAAAAGACTAAATACAGAGCTTCCCTATGACCCAGCAATTCCACTCCTGGGAATTTATTCCATTGACCACAAACCAAGCCACATTAAAGCTACCAGCACAACCATGTTCATTAAAGTATTGTTTAACATAGCCAAGATATGCAATCAACCCAGATGCCCCCCAGGGAATGAATGGAACAAGAAAATGTGGTATATATACACAATGGAATTCTACGCTTCTATCAGAAAGAATGATATTGCCCCATTCTCAAGGAAATGAAAAGACTTGGAAACATTGTATTAAGCAAAGTAAGCCAAACCCAATGAAACATAGGTTACATGGTTTCCCTCATTTGTAGTAATTAGAATGTACCTATAAATCTTCAAGTAAACACAGTGGATGATAGAAGAAAAAAATAACACTACGACATAAATCAAATAGGACTCCAAAGGTTCACACAGTGAGACCCAAGGAGGATATTTTTAGGAGGGGGTCACAAAGACTCAATAGCTATGTGCATATGAGGTTATAAAATGATTTTTATCAAAGTGAACTCCAAGAAATGGAAACAATAGGTTTTTATTTTACTTTTTGATATTTTGTTTTGTTTTGTTTTGTTTTTCCCCCTTTGTCACTGTATTTCATTTCTGTACTTTTTGTCTTGTATGTAAGTTTATGTTTGAGGGAGTAATGGGAAGCACAGAAATGTAATGACAAATGGTAAACTAATTGTGCAGTGATCCTCATTTGATACTATGTTGAAAATAAACACAAACGGTAAACTAATTGTGCAGTGATCCTCATTTGATACTATGTTGAAAATAAGTTATACAACTTGGGGGGAAGGGGTTGGAGAGGGAAAAAATTGAGAGAAAACAAGGGAAGAGTTGACATTGTTTAAAAAGATATGTAGGGGCTGGGAAGGTGGTTCAGTGGTAGAGTGCTTGCCTGAGGCCCTAGGTTCGATTCCTCAGCACCACATAAGCAGATAAAGCTGGAAGAAGTGCTGTTGCTCAAGTGGTAGAGTGCTAGACTTGAGAAGAACCGAGGGGAAGAGCCCAGGCTAAGTTCAAGCCCCATGATCAAAAAAAAAAAAAAAAAAGATATGTACTCATCCTGGTGCTGGTAGCTCACACCTATAATCCTAGCTACTTAGAAGGCTTGAGATCTGAGAATTATGGTTCAAAGCCAGACCAGGCAGCAAAGTCTGTGAGACTCTTATCTTCAACAAGTGACTCAAAAAAAACTGGAAGTGGTACTAGCCTTAAACACAAAGAGGTTCTGGGATAGCACCCAGGACCTGAGTTCAAGCACTAGGTCAGGAAAAATAATTTAAAAATACTCATTATCTATGTAACTGTAACCCTTCTGTATATCACCTTTACAATAAGAATATTTTTTTAAAAATTAATGAGTGCCCTCTATGTCAAAAACCCTGACAATTAAATGATAATTTAATTGATGTCATGTTAGTCTTTTTTACCCAGTTTCTCTTACTAGCCCACATACTGAGACCAAAGCTACATTTCTACCAGAGCTATCACACTCACAGATTCAATCAAAAGATAAAGACTTCTTATTTATAATAGCAAATTTCGTGTGAAAATGAGCCCAAGCTATTCCTAGTCATTGCTAGTAGGAATAAAACTCAGTATAACCAATGTGAAAATGTGAGTTTACAAAATTAAATATGTGTAAAATTTACTTAAGCTCATCTTATCAAAACATTCTATGTACAAAAATGGATCTGTTATTGAAACACCTTTGTACAACTATTTGAAGAAAAATATTAAAACCTGCACACCAATGTTTATAGCAACTTCAAATGTAATTACTCCAAATTGGAAGCAAGCAAGATGCTCTTCAATATGAGAGTGGAGAAACAAATTAAGGTAAAAGCATTCAATAAGGTATTAAGACTTGACATAAAGAAATAAGCTACCAAGCTACGAAAGACAGAGGAAACCTAAATGAGCTTTAAGGGAAAGAAGCTAAGTCTGGAAAAGTTAACATGTTGAGTAAGTTCCACTACATGGCATCTGCAGAAGGCAAAACCATAGAGACTTGTGAAAAGATCAGCGGCTGCCAAAAGAGTTCAGGAAGTAGGGTAAGAGAACAGGGCCAATGAATAAGTAGAACACAGGGTATTTTCAGGACTGCAATGGTAGAAACATGACACTTAGCACTTATAAACCACAGAACCATGAAACACAGTGAACCCTAATGCAAATTCTAGACTCCAGTTAAAACAATGCTGGTTCATTAACCATAGTAAATTGAGCACACTAATGTTAAGACACAAATTGTAGAGCCTACTCTGCATTTCCTCAGCATTTTTTTCTGTGGACCTAAAACTACTCTATAAAGTTTACATAAAAGAAACATCCACTCAAGATCATACATAAAGTTGTGCAAAATAATATCTGAAGTAAGTGCACAAAGTGCTCAACAAAATAAAAAATACATCATGGCTTTATGTAAACTAAGAGAAACACCTGCAAAATAAATAGTACTGGGAAAAGGAATTCTGATATAGTCTTACCTGTCCTGTGACTGTTCTTCATACATCCTCTCCTTGCCTTCTTTAAAAAGCCTTATTGCTCGTTTTGACTTTTTCATTAGGCTATCAATGTAGATTTTAAAATACTCATTCTCACTTAGTTGGGCAAGTTTCTGGTTGTCATCATATTTACTCAGTATGAGTCGCAAATGCTGGTATGTGTCAGGTAAAATATCGAGTATATATGGCGGGCTATTTTTCAACTGCAGTTTGGGATTTTGGCACAGTCTTACCTAAAAACAAAGAAAGAAAAAGTATATTTACGTCAATCAGAACATGCTCTTTCATATAAAACTTATGAATGGACATAGCTATAGCTAATTTTTCATCTTCCATAATACAATTTGTGATCTTAAATCAGCAACTCCAGTTTATAAAGAACTAGCAAATTTTCACATCTGTGTATCTACTATCAAGTCCTATTCTCTTTACATGCAGACTATTCTTTATCACATCTTTGCTTTCAATTCTGAAAGTTTTAATTCTCTTTCTAGTGTACTAATCACTGTTTACCTACAATAATCTTTTTGTAATAACAATGAGGAAATAGTCCTTTTCTGCTGGCAACCAATGCACATGTTGACATTATTTTACTATATGTAATTTCTAGCTAAAGCTCTCTTATGGATTTTAATATTTTTACATATTGTTTACCATTCCTAGGGGAATAAAAGAAAAAGGTAAAATTTTAACAACTGAGTTATTAACTAGCTAAATGGCTGACAGGTCACAAGAAGTCTTCCACCTCTCACAACATCTACCATTCCTGTAAACATGTGATACTTAATAGTTTAATCACTCTGCCAAGGACCATCCAACCACTGGGGCATACAGGTCTGCTTTGGAACTTAAATTAAAAGGAAGTAATTCAACCATATACTCTGTTCCCTTGTGTATGTTCGTGTGATTTAGCCAAGAAGTAGTAAGCCCAGTTCATTTGCCCCTCCAACTAGGGCATCAGAAACTCAGTCAAACCTAATTTTAAATTGAAAGCTCTGGAGATTATACAAGAGCACACATAGTATAACACTGCAGCAGAACTAATAGAAAGTCCAACTAGATACATAAAAACAGATTTAGTATAAAGATAGTAAAGTGAAAACTTCTGGATCTCTCAGACCGTACATACACACACACATACACACATACATGGAATATACACCACACACATTATATGTATATATATATGTTATATATGGCATATACATATGAATATACCATATATAAGTTGTGTGTACATATGACAGTAAGTTTGTGTATATGCATATTTAATTATATGTGTATAGACAGATAAATATGAAAGATACATAAAACATAATTGGTAATGACATTTCTGACAGTTTCCAGTCTGATTTCCTTTCCATTACTTGTTAAGGCTGATGTTAGGTGGCACCAGAGTGACAAATGGCATTTCTCAAATCTGGCTAAGAGAACCAGATGCTAGTAGGTCACACCTGTAATCATAGCTACTCAGGACACTGAGATCTGAGGATCACGGTTCAAAACCAGCCCGGGCAGAAATGGCCCTGTGAAACTCTTATCTCCAATTAACCACCAGCAAACACGAAGTGGAGCTATGGCACAAGGTGGTAGAGCACTAGCCCTGAGCAAAAGAGCTCAGGGACAACACAGGACCCATTAATTTACAAAAATAAAAGTAAAAAACCATGGTGGCTAAGAGGAAGTTGATCTGGAGGTGCCTTTAGACTAGAGGAACTTGTATTTGAGGCATTAAGTCACTTCCATAAATAGCTCAGTTATTGTCAGCAGTTTGAAATATGTCAGGCACAGAATGAAAAATACTATATGATCTCAATTATACAAGAATCTAAATATAAAGAAGTCAGATAAATACCAGCAGTGTGGAATAGTAGTTACCAGAGACAGGCAAAAGGAGGAAAGGAATATATCAAGCTGCAGTTAAGTAGGATGGACAAAATTACAGAGGGATGACTCTATACAACTTGAAGACTATTGTTAACATCAACTTGTATGCCTAATGTTGCTAAAACAATGGGCTTTAGGTGCTCTTACCACACAGTGTAAGCAATTATAAGATAGAAAGAATGTTGATTTGACTATAACAATTATTTCAAGGGATGTGTGAGTATACATCATATATACATATATGCTTTTGTACAAATACTTAACTATATACACATATGGATATATGTATTTCAAATATTTCAAATACAAATTTGATATATAACAAATAATTGTGATATATAAAGTGATTTTTTTCTATTTAAATAAGAGTTTTAAAAAGAGTAACTTCAGGAATATTGCAAGTGCTCACCACACTAACTATCCTCCCACAGGGGCAGAAAGGCATACTTCAAATCTGCCGACTGAAATATATTTTGGGTCATGACTAGAAGTCTATGTGGGTAATGAAAGAAGCACAGCGAACAAAATATACTCATCCAGAAACAAATCTAGATCTTTTCACTGATACATACAGACTTATCAGCTTCTAGAAGTATACAAATTAATAAGCTAGAGGTAGAGATTTAATTTAAATGTAAGAATACTATTTTAAGCTGAATGACAATGGCTCATGCCTATAATTCTAGCTACTCAGGAAGCTGAGGTCTGAGAATCAACATTTAAAGCTAAGCTGTGATAACAAATCATTGAGATTCTAACCTCCTGCTAGCCAGCAAAAAACTAGATGTGGATGCATAGCTCAAGTGGAAGAGCGCCAACCTTGAGCAAAAGAACTCTTGAGCTAGAGTGGCATGCTCTATGTTCAGGCCAAGTATCAGCACAGACATGACAATACACACACACACACACACACATACACACACACACACACACAAACACACATACCTGTAAAACTTTTCCTGGAATGTTGAGATGCCATTTCATTTGTAAATAATACATATGTTTATAACAGTTCACATAAAATAGCTGACAAAGTTTTTCTATCACCTGGATATGATTAAAGAAGTTCGTTCTGCATTAAAGACTAAGTTCCAAATGTCAATGATTTAACATATCCTGATTCCAATAGGCATTTAAATTTTGTACACCAAAAGATAGATGTGAATACAGAAATTTGAAGAGTACTGTGACCAACTTCTTACAACAGACACAGTTTAATTTCAGCAACATGTACTTGTACACCATGTCACAGATTGATAAATTATTAACTTGTAGTCAGGCAGCAGAGCAGCTTCAAACTCATTTCCTGAACTGCTGGCTTTTTTAACTGACTACAGAAAATTATCTCTTAAGTATTTTTCCCCAAAAACTCTAAAATTATTCCTTAAAAGATACTTTCACATCTTACATGTATCAAATTATTTTCTATCTGATCTTTTCTTACTTACTTTTAAGATTGTAAATTCATGTGGGAATGTATTGTTTTATTGAGTAATACTGAATAACTACTATATCATAGGTACTAATCTCAGTGGCAGAAAATTACAGATGACTAGCATATTCTTCCTGTGTTAAGAAGTCTGGCAGAAGAGACCTAGTTCTCTATAATTAACTTAGGAGAAATGTAATTCTTGCTCCAAGGGATCTCTGTAAAGATTCCATCCAATCCACTCATTTCTAGATAAAAAGTAAAACTGAGAACTACAAAGATTAAAGGACTATTAAAAAAACATTAATCCAACACAAGAGTCTGCATCTTTTAAGTCTCAGACTGGTCTTCTTTCTAACTCTAATATAATTATAACTGTGCACATAATTAACGATCCTTTCTAAACTAATTTCCATTTTTATTTTATTCTAATTGCTAATTTACATCAACTTCAGGACTCATTTGTTAATGCAACAAAGGTTTATATGTCAGGCATTATTCCAGACAGTATGAACACAGGAAAAAGTCACAGGAGTTATCTAGTGGGAAAGCCTGGTCGCTTAAGGAAGAATTGCCAGAGAATGGAGGGCTATAGGAAGAAAGAGTATACAGTGGTAGAGGAGAAAAGCAGCAGCTTAGTATTATTCATTCACAAGGGAATCAAGGAACGCATACCTGAATTTGCAAAATGCAACATCCTAGGCAAAACAGTTTGGAAAGATTTAAGAGAAACCAGGATATAGGAGGAGTACATGCAATTATTCTAAAAGGAAGGAATACAGGAAGGCTCATGGGTAGTGATACAGAAGTTGGAAATGGACTGGGGAGGTCAGCCTGTGTAGACTATGCTGTCCTCTAAATCTGCACTTGAGAAAGTATAACAGATGGTGCCAAACTACTTCCTGTATGCCACCAAATGTGCAGTGCATCAGTGAGATTACTATTAAGCCATGTGACTTATGACAGCGATTGCAGAAAATTAATGGCCTTACACTAGGACTATGACTTCCAAGCAGGTCAAATTCAAATCCATTCAATAAATATTTATTGAGTGCCTGCTATGTGCAAGGAACTGCAAAAGCCAGGGAAAGAAAAATTGCTTCTCTAAAATCACTCCTTTAAGGAGAAAAAAAAATCAAGTTTAACCACAAGGTTCAAGATCACATTCAAATGACTTAGATTTCTCCTAGAAATATCTAAATTGTTCCATAGAATGAACGTGGGAGCAAAACCAAAGGGTTTTCACAAGGAAACACATTTTCAAATTTTCAATCACATTATCTAGTGATTGAAAAAAATACTTATCAGGCTTAAAGAGGTACATAAAAGAATAGCAATATTACTCTACTCTTTTAACTACAGGCACAACATCTGCTTTTGGAATTAGGGTAAAAATGTGATTGTAGTCATTGATACAAAGGATTTTGGAATCTGCAGAGACCCTTGGAAATTACCAAGAGCACCTTCTTCAGTTGACCTGGTTACACTAAAAGTAACCTCTTAATGTTCAGCTTATGTCCCTGGTATTTGACCTTAAATGAGGCACAACTAATGTTTGTATTTATTTATTTATTTATGTCAGTTGTGGGCCTGGACTCTGGGCCTGGGAGCTGTCCCTCAGCTCTTCAGCTCAAGGCTAGCACTCTACCACTTAAGCCGCAGCAGCCCTTCTATCTTTTTCTGGTTATGTGGTGCTGAGGAATCGAACCCAGGGCCTCATGCATGTGAGGCAAGCATTCTACCTCTGAACCACTTTCCTAGTCCCCTGTATTTAATTATTTTTAAGGAAACTTTCTCTGTACACTGTAATTTGCATTTTTTCAAATGCAAATAAAAATTATTAGCGGGGAGGATTGGGTGGGGGGGCGGGGAGAGGCTGGGAAGGGATGTGAAGGACAAACAAAGGAGGAGGCTGCA